ATTGGAGAGCACTGAAAGTATGAATCAGTCGTTTCAACCACCAAAAGTGTCTGCGGTATGGATGCATCCCAGTAACATCACTAACAAGAGATTCTCGCACCGACTGCTCTAGCGGTCTTGGTATTCTTGGCGTATATCCAAAAAAACTGACCAATAAACCACTGGCAATGAAATATTAACAAAATGTATTGGACATACACACACACACGCACAACACACACATACATATATACATACACAATACACACAGCCAGATAACCCCGTGACAATTTGCGTTTTGTATTGCTGTTACACAGCACAAAAAAAATGATAAAAAGTTGATGTAACGAAAAAAAAAGAACACATTTTATGCTGAAAAAAAAAAAAAAACTAACTAATCGGTTCTTCATCGCCATACATTGTATCAATTACATGATGAATTTTATCGGCAGCAAAGCAAGCGCTCAGTGCTCGAGTTTGTATATCAGCACCAATTGCAATAAATGACTTATTCATTTTATCAATGAATTGAACCAATCGAGGCACTTGCAAGAAACTTCCATTCTTATAAGCAGTCGTTAAACATTCCGAAACCTACAGTCAAAGTATTAACACGAAAAGGACAGAAAATTGATCTTTTTTTTTCAAAGAAAAACATTTTATATAAAAAAATTCACTTACTATTAAACAATTATTCAGCACTAATATGATATTAATTCATGCTTAGCAAGGTACCTTATCCTGGCACATATGCGGACTCAGGATGGCTTCTTGGGAGAGGAGGGGGAGGGGAGGAGAGAAGAAGAAAAGTAAGGTTGCTGGAGAGGGGAAGAGGAACCGGAGAGTACGGTAGAGAGTTTTCTTCAGTTTTAGCTTTAGAACCAGACTTTTGTAGCACTGGTACCAGTGCCGCTGGAGAGGAGCGAAAGGCTCATTACCCATCTCCCCCAACTCGTCTATGTCCTGGCGTATGAAAGTGTATGGGACAGTTCAGAACAATGTGGTAATGATTAAAATTCATCATGGGGCATATTGAAACAACAATCTTGCAAAATTTTTCTAATAACGGAAACTGCTAATCTCCACAGGAGATAAAACGAACGTTCGGATCGCCAGTAGGCTGACCACTAGTCAAAGCAATTCGAAAAGCTTTTTGCAGA